TAAATAGTAATTGTTGACAAATGAAGCACTACTCCTCTGAATGTATTTAGCTATCATTCCAAATTCAGACAACATATCAAGTTATACATTTCCCTCTTTGAATATCCATACATGTAATACAAAGAAGAGCAAAGTGACAGCAAACAGGTGACATTTAGTAGCTTACTGTCTGTTCACTGATGAATGCAGCCAATGGTAATAACAGCAACTAAATTGAATCTATTTACTGATGGAACAATAGAGTCTAACTGATAAGTTTGTCCAGATTCATGACAACTGCATGACTATGTTGCAGTTTGAATCCAGACCTCTTATTGCAGTACTGAATCCACTTATTCTCACATGAACTTCTTTTTTGGCTTTGTCCAAATGATACCCCATTCAAATTTCACTGCTACCTATGTTACCTGCTGTATTAATGTATCATATTTAAAATTATCACTGATTATGCAGTATATGAAAAGGAGGGAAGAGTCTTATCCAACACTAGGTTACATATGGTGTTCTACACAGACCCAACCCTTTTAAAGTACAAATGAGGTTTTACTCAGAAAACTCAATGCATGAGTAACAAAGTGGTCAGTATTCTCATTACCGCTACCTAGCAGGAAATTTCTAGTGTGCATTTCTTGTAAAAGCGACCAGGTCACTAACTTTTCTAGTAAATATAGTTCAGCTATGGGGAAGAAAAGAGAAACAGAAAGGGGCACTTTCTCACTCAAAAGTAACCTGTTGAATGGGAGTTTCAGATTTCAGACTTCTACAAAAATTTAGAGGCACATATGAATTCCAAGAATGTGGTTTCAGGAACCATTTCAAAAATGTCTTATATTGTAAACAGCTGATTAAATGCTGACTGGATCACTGGTATTAGATGAGTTTCAGCTTTGCACAGTGGTGTTGCGGTGGCTGGCTGCAGTGTGGGGCTTGAGACAGCATTTCTCAGCAGTGGCGCTGGGCTGAAGTAGAGGCCTGGGGGCCGAGCACCACTGTGTAGGGCAGCCAAAAGGGCATAGATGGGGAGGGGGGAAGATAGGCAGGCAGGGTGAGTTGCAGCACCCCTGCAGTCGTAAGTGTGGTTGGACTGGGGTAGCTGAGGTTTCCCAGGGCCCAACAGCTTTGTGCTGGGCTGCTGGGCTGGGCCGCACTGTGGCACCCCTCCAACTTACGCATGGTCTGCGCCGGGCCTTGCCCACCCCCCTGCAGCACCCCCCTGCTCCTTACTTGGGACTCCCTCCGCATAGCCACCCATGGTTTTCAGTTAATGATGGCAACAGGGAGTGCCAGGATTGTGGTCGCTAAGTGAAGTGGTCACGTGACATCTTCCTTTATGACTTCCATTGCTTAGCGATGGAAATTCCGGTCCCAATTGTGATTGTTAAGCAAGGACTACCTGCATTCATGTCTGCATCTACCCTATTATCAAGCACAAAGTGATGTTTTTCCCTTTGACACTCCACTTATATGCCTTACAACATTATAAAAATATGGTGAGCCTCTTCTTCTCCATCCAGCAAAATATTTTGTCCATACCTGGACACCTTTTGCCTTACGAATTCTAATCTTTTTTGTAGCTTTTTATTGTATCACCATCATATCCACCCAATACTCAGCTGTTGAAGGCAGTTATCACTCTCATCATTCTGATCCTATGTCCTTCCTTAAACTTTTCACTGACTTCTTGTCCAGTCCCTAATCTTGCACAAAGTTCTTTTCCTCACTTTTAAAACTCTCTTGATTTTCTCTCAGCTCTTCCGTTCCAACAGTACATTCACTTACTCATCTCTACTATTCTCTTGTCCAAAGGTCTCCCGGTACTGAAACACCACTGGCTGCCATGTGATAAAGGAAATAGGTTAAGAACCTCCTCAATCTCATTATATTGGGAAGGGTCTGGATCATTTCTTAGTCCTAGCTAATACAGGTCCCTTGTTTAACAACCATTTGAACTTTGAATGACGTTTAAAGTTATGATAGCACTGAACGAGGAGACTTACAACTGGTCCTCACAGTTGGGCTGTTGCAGCATCCCCAAGGTCATGTGATCACCATTTGCGACCTTCACTGCCGGCTTCCGACAAGCAAAATCAACGGGAAAGCCAGCAGAAGGTTGCAAATGGTGATCACATGACACTGCACCTAACGACTGTGCAGAATTTGCTTAATGAAAGCAACCAGAACTGCTTCAGCTGCCATCGTAAGATCACGTGATGTCGCACTTTACAACTGTGTCACTTAGCGATGGAGTTGCTGATCTCAATTACTGTTGTTAAGCAAGGATTACCTGTACTTTATTGTAACTAAGCAAAAGCACATGCAACTGAAAACAACACATATTCTTCCCAGTCTTATTCATACCTTTTTTCCCCCAAGCACTCTTCATTCTTGTTTTCCTATCAAATTTCCACAATCCTTTGGAGAAGAATACTATCATACATATATGATCTTTGTAGGGTTCCATGTACTTAGATAACATTCCATAAACAAATAAATAAATGACCCAATAGAAGTAGAGGTAAATTAGAGATGAGAAATCTTTCCCAGCCAGAGCACAGCATTTTTCTGCAGGAAATATACTCAAAACCACATATCATCAGTAGGTATAAATGGAGTTATCTTACAATCATATTTTCTTTCTCCTGCTCTCTGTCCCCTTTCCTCCCCAGCTAAACTTTGCTTCACTACTCAACATTTAGGCTTAAGAAGGTATCCATTTGGAACAGCTGCACTGCAGGAAAGGAAATGTCATAACACATGAAGGGCTCTTCCTTACCCAGGTATCATCATGCCTCCCCCCAAATAAATCACATGCACATTTGAAAAGCTGCAATGTTTTAAAGTGTCATTGCAATACAGAGGATATAGTGAACTGGAGCTGAAAGAGGAAGTCCTACTGGGTACATCCAGGTTATAGACTAAAAGTTCCCTATCTCAAAGGGGACAAAGGTATATTGCAGATAAGGATACAGAGGAAAGTCACAGACGATGAAGGAATATATGCTGGACATGAAACACAGAAGACCAGTTTAGGGATTTACAAAGAGGCACTGCATTATAAGAACGACAAAAGTATAGAATGATTTGGGCAGGAGCAATATAAATTTGACAGTTGCAAGATTCAATAAAATTAACCAGGGTTTCTACCAAGCAGATGAAAATGAACTTGATCTTCATTATCCTGTCCAAGGAAAACTTTTATGATTGTGAACAAGTGAGAGTAGAATTTCAAAGTTAAGAATTCTTCTCTAGCCAACCAAGTAAATGGTAACCCCAATAAATTTTTAAAAAAGGATTCAGTGAGAGGACAGCTTGGGAGGAAAACTAAGATGTTAAATTTTGGACAAGTTTGGGATAGTGACAAGACATTGCAGAAGAAATATAAGATCAACTAAGTTGGATGGACAGAAAAAGATCTTATTACAGTAGATTTCAGTTATGTCTTAGAACTTGCTTGCCTATGAAAAAAGTTTTTGATGATAAAGAGTAAAACGGCTCATAATTCATTGGGACTACTGTTAACCATGATAAATTCAGTCTTGTATTTCATAAACATTATAATATCTCATTGTTGCACTATGTGAAAATCTTTCAGCAAGTCAATTTCTCCCCTTTGCATATCAATCTTGCTTGAAGGAATACAAATACCAAGATGGTGGATCAAGGCATCAGACATTCATTTGCTCCTTAAACTTTCAAACATGGCCAGAACTTTTCACCACACCCTTTTCAGGATTGCCCAGGGGGGCACCAAAGATTTGTCTTCAGGGGCACATACAGTCTCATAGGCTACCCACCAGTGAGTGGAACAGAATACTCTCCGAGGCCTTAGTGTCTTCAAGCAACAACTCTGCTTTGCCAATATTCCTACTTCCTGATGAAAAAAGGCAGTCAACCAGGAGGCATTCCCAAGAGTAATGAACTGAAGGGGTTCTCTGCTTTATGGATAAGATGAGACCTAGTGACCCAGAAGTTTTCCATTGCTAGTATATACATGGCAACAAATTCTTCCAGAGACATCAATCAGAAATCCAACAGCAGTTATTAAATACCAAAACAGTTTTCAGCTAAAAAATAATCAAGTATACATGGATTTCTTTTTCCTCAGCAAAAATTAAAAGCTACTAACATTTCTAGTTCAGAGAAAAAACTGGAAGTTTGAATCTGCCCAAGTGGCTGACTCCATCCCATCCCACAACTAGATCTCTGGCTCAGGTTAAAAAGTTACCTTCACCTCAGTCTGACTGCCAAATGAACTAAGCTGTATTAGGGACCAAAATGAAAAGGAATCAACAAGGTTAAAAGTGAAACTGTGGCAGCAACAGGGCAGACAAAAAGCAGGATGATCACCCTACTTCCAATATGCCAGTAATCAGATCCCATTTGCAATAGCTACTGGACATTAGGATTTTTGAACCCCTGCTGCCTAATGCCAGTTGTCAAGTGTTAAATGAGAGTCACCATGTTAATGATCAAATCTACAATACTGAAGTCTAACACTGGATCTGAAATACTATACCTAACATGGTGGAAATATTTGATTTGAGCATATACATGACTTGGAGAACTGAGGGCAGAGATTCATTTCAGCTTGAGTGCTGCCTGCTGTCCAATCTCTCTAAGGTAGATCCCATCAGCAGGCAGAACTTACCCACAGCCCGGAACAAGCAGGCCCCATCTTCCTTCATCTGTTTTATGATGAACCCTTTCTTCTCTCTCAGCGCCTTCTCGAACCTGTGTTCCTGCTGGTGACAGGAGGGGCAGATGTCAGCAAGTTAGACAGCATCCCCATCCCACAAATGAGGGAGGGCAACATAACCAACTTTCTCTCCTGTTCTACCCATGACTCTTTATAAAAATAGGGACCAGGTGGAAAAGCCACAGTGGAGAAGAAAGATTTTCTACATGCAGTACAGTATGTAACTCTGCTGCCCACTAGAGGCTGATCCACGCCAAGCAGTGATCATTAGAGCACTGAGTTGATCAATAAAAGATGCCCCCAGTTAATTCCAAATGATGTTGTAATCAGGGAATAGTACTGTATAGCACTGGCACTAATGGGACTGTGCACAATTTTATTTATATATCTGATACAATATATAATCTATCTATCTATCTATCTATCTATCTATCTATCTATCTATCTATCTATCTACCTTTTTACTCTGTTAAGTAGGTAAGGCAGCCAACAAAATTTTAAAATCAAAACAGAATATAAAAACATTAAAATTAACAACATTTATATTGCATTCAATTAATTAAAAGCCTGATGAGAGATGTCTTTAGGGGTTTTTTAAAATGCCAAGACAGTAGGGGCCAAGCGCTCCTGAGGGAATGCTCCCTTAGGGAAGCAACAGAGGAAAAGGCTGTGTCCTATGTGCCAGAAAGGTGGATTGTTGACAGTGTGGGATTCTTCAAAAGGGCCTTCCTACAAATCTTGAAAAATTGTCAGGTTTATAATAGAAGTAATCCCTTTATTGATCCCAAGCCATTTAAGACTATAGGTCAATCCCAACTCCTCAATTGTACCCAGTAAGCACACTTCCCATATTCATAAGTCAATCAAAACTCTTCAACTTCCATGATTTTTTGCACAGGGAATGAATGCTACAGGTAATGAAGCAGATAGTTAACACCTAAGGAATTCATACAGCACAAGGTCTCTCTCCAGAGGCTTCATGATTACAAGCTCATTTTGATACAACACCTGTATTTTTTGCAAATACCCAGAGCTTTAAGAGCAGCACTTAATGTCATGCCTTGCTGTACAATTCTGTTTTTTGCATTCTCAAACCCATGTAGCCAATATATCCAATTCTGCAGTTTGAATGATGAGGATTAGAAATTTGCTTTTTTCAAAGGAAAAAAATAAAAACACCCTCTTCACATTCTAAATTTTCTCCAACATACCAGGTTCTGTTAAAAACTGCAGAATTAACTAATCCTTCCTTCTCTCCCAGGTATTAACTTACATCTTGTGGATAAACACATTCAGTCACTTATGAAGTAAATTCTAGAATTTTGCATAACAATCGCTTCAAGAAAACAGGTAGGCTGCCATTAGCGCGAGTTTGAATAGTGTGTGATATTCGATTTAGTGCAAATTATTAATTGATTCCAGGTCACGTTTAACACAAGCCAAAATTCTGTTAGTGTGAGACTAACTGCAGAATACAGAAGATAGCAGGTAACCTCTGGATATGGGTTTATGCTCTTTTACTGTTATACGGTATTTCATTAATGAACATGTACAAATTTATGTTTAAAAATTTTAATTGCCTATTTCTGTCAAGCGGGAACCAATTACCCTATTTTCCAGAGAAATATCACTTTGAATAGTGCAAATTTGAATACTGTGACCATTTCGTGGAATTCATTAACCGCACTAATCGAGACCTACTTGTACTGAATAGGTACATCTTCATTTTGCTCAAGAGATTATTACTTAATGACCCACTGCATACAGTCTTCCAGTAATCTATTAAATTACTTTAGTCATTAAAAGTTGACACCAACATGATGGCACATAATCAATTAAAAAAGATATTTATTAACAGTAATTCAAAAGAATACTACTTCAAATTTATTGATCCTTTTGTCTTTGGCTCAAGTAGTTTCACTGCCATCTACTGGCAACAGAGAGAGCTAGATTTTAAAGTAGTCAAAGATTTTCTATTCCCTTTGTTAGCAATTCTACCCTTTCACCACTCCCTACCATCCCCAGTACTTTAATTCTATATTCAGTTTGAACAGATGAGGGAAAGAGAACTACATATTTGCAGAGTCAGGGCACTAGACTAGGGACGTAAAGAAGACTAGGTTATGGTTCCTCTGGAAACCTCTACTGATGTTCCTTTTCCCTTTAGTTCTGGGAGCTGTATTACAGAGTATAGATTATTCAACTTCAGTCATGCAGCAATTTTCTGAAAACCAAAAAGTAATCTCTAGTCCAGCAGAGTGTTTTTTGCTACAAGAATTACGAGGAGGGCATAAAGCAGACTAATAATCAATCAATCCTGTATTAAAAAGGAAGACTGGAAGTACAAAACAGTATCTTAGTGGTCACTTAGAAGCTTCATACCTGAAGCTAGATTGAAACCAAAAATGTTCAAATTCCTATTTTGTTCTGTTACTAGAAGTCTAGGCCTACTCCAACTGTGCTCCATGGACAAATGTGTGGCAGAAACAGGAATATATACCCAGAGAGAAATACTGCTGGTGGAATGCTATATATTTGGTGGGATCCTTCCTGCTTTGGCTGCTTTTCAAACAGGCATTCTCGCATCATCCATTAATATTTAGCAAAGAGAATACAGAGCAGGCTTCCCCAACTAGTGTCCTCCAAATGTTTGTGTGACTCCATCCCCTTACCAACCAGCATGGCAAAATGACAGTGCTGACTGACTGAAGATGGGAGTTGTCCAGCCTCACCTCAAAGAAGGGAGTGACAGAGCCATGTGCAAAATGAACTTAGAGCTGTGACAAATTGGCAGAGCCCATTTTATAAGTGTCATGCTTATCTTACAGAAGAAGAGGGAAAGGGAGTTAGATACTAAAAAAATGCAGCTGGATTATATACCGTATGCCTCTCCTGCCAATTTAGCAGCCTTTATCACTGAAAGGAAAAATGAAGGGAAAAAACCCCTGAATCTGTTTCTCATTATCCTGTGAAGATTCCTTAGGCTTGTATGCATGAAGATTTCTAATGAATTCTACTATTACCAGGTAACAACACAATGTGATCAATGATGTTTAGACTTAACAGGCTTTAAGAGAACTCGTAATTTTCACTGGCTAAGGCAGGAACACAATGACCCTTATGTTGATCAGTTCATTTGAAACTTTTCTAGGAGATCTGGCACATTAGGATGCAGAGAATATAAACTTAAAAAGAAAACACACCATAATTATTGTAAGATATGGGATCCTTCTGCAACCTGAGTATATCACATATATGACGACTTTAACTCCCAGACTTCTCAGCAATGGACATGAGAACTAGGGAAACTTAAGATACATTAACAATATACCCAGACTTGCTAGTCCACATAAGTCATCATTCTGCAGACTCACTATTCCATACAGACTGGCAGAAAAGACATGAGGTATTCTGCTTCTCACATAACAACTTCCTGCATTTCTATGCTGAGCACAAAAAAGAAAACCCCATTATCCTTCACCCTGCAGCTCACTTAACATCTGCATGAAATTCCTTCTCATAAATGACTACCAGGTACTGTAACGCCAAAAAATATAAGGTTATACAACTCCTCTCAGGGATATGTAAAAAGAGAGAGAAACCTAATGCCTTGAAATGTATGTGCACCAAGAGAAAGGGCCTTACTCTATGTAGTTCCTGACTTTGCAGGGAAGATTTCTTCATTCAAGTTTCATCACAGATAGCGTTCTATTCTCCATCCCAACTCAACATAAGCAAGGCATCACTAGTTTATAAGACTAAGAAACAGTTATTCCAGACTTCTCAACTATGCAACTGTAACACTCTTGTTCATATTCTTTCTATTAAATAAAAAGCCACATACCACTTCAATTGTTAAAATTCATTTATCATTTTTCTGCCTTCTCTGTCCTTTCATCTACCAATTCACTTTCAAACTGAGACTAGGAAATAAATGTATGAATATGCTGAGATGTCAGAAAAGGGTGGGTAACTACTGGGGTGGAGGCACAAAGAAAACCAGCTCAGGTCATGACTATAGACAATCTGGTTACATCCATCAATACAGCAAGTGACTTTCATCCATTTATAAGAAATGTATAACACCCCTATCACAATCATGCTGGAAAACTGCACATATAGTGTAATTTGCCTGGACGCTTTGTAAAGTATGAAAACAAACACCTTCCTTTCCCCATACCCTTAATTGGGGAGGAGCAGGACACAGTTATCATGTATTCCAAATTATATATCATAGCCAACACTAATCTGGGCAACAATATTATACTGATCTAACTGAATGTTTCGATGGCATGTCACATGCCACAAATGTTTTTCAAATAAGATGCAATCCTAGCTCAAGGTCCCCTAATTTATCTATAATCATGATGCAGTACCACATGGCCTTATCTAAATAGTTCAAACTACCCTTTTCTGTGCAAACCTCAATTCTTATAAGGAACCATACACATACTATATGGAATTCAATTCCATTTAGTTGAAGAGCTTGCTGAGCTACTTAGCAGCACATTTTGCAGTGTGGATTTCTGGGGGCTAAGCAAAAACTAGAGAAAGCCACTTTGGTGTAGTGGTTAAAGCATCAGGCTAGAAACCAGGAGACCATTAATTCCACTCCCACCTTCGGAACGAAGCCAGCTGGGGGACTGTGGATCCATCACTGTCTCTCAGCCCTAGGAAGGAAGCAATGGCAAGCCACTTCCGAAACCTTCCCAAAAAAACTAGAGGGACATTCTAGGCAGTCACCAGGAGTCAATACTGACTCAAAGGCACACCAAAAAAACAAAAAAACAAAAACCCCTATGTCCACTTTACTCAATATGGGTCCCTCTAAGTGTATTATAACTCACACCATCCTTGACCAACATATTGGATGAAGGTGATGGGAGTTACAGTCCAACAAACCTGGACATTTAGGTAGACTGTTAGAAATCTCAGCAGTAGACACTTTCTATAGAACTGTAGAAAGTTTAAAGCAAAAGTTCATATCAATTTCTTCTCAGATTTGTAAATTCATTTTTGATGAACTAGTAGGCAGATACAGAGATTAGCAAATACACTTTAAGGCTGCTATGGTCTTGAAAAAGAATTCAACAACAATAAGATCGGTTAGAGTAAATAACTGTTCCCTCAGAAATTATCTTGAGTCCCAGCACCAAAGAATACTCTGACTAATGGATTGAAGACAACAGTGATAACACGATTCTACATCAGTGGAATCCAAATAGCATTATGAACTAATGATGCTGACTACATTTGCCCCCCCCCAAAAAATCCAGTGAGAATATTCAACATATCTGTAAGTTTGCTCTTTTTATATCTTCCCCTAGAAGTACCTGCTATACCTAGGAACATTTCAAAACATAGAGAATATTACATGCCTGATGAGCTGCCCTGCATGGTCTGAAAGAACTTGTATTATGTAGGTCAACATAGGTCAATGAGCTCCATAATAATTGTTGCCTTATTAACAGAATACCTGACACTGTTACAAGACCACGGTAACACCAAGTCACTATAGCTGGCTTACAACTTGGAACTCTTATCCCTAGGAAAGTTGCCAGACTAATTTTTTTCCAAAAGTGCACAGAGCCTATTTACTAAACAATGTAGTTGCCAAATGTTAATCAAACCACTTCAATGGAACAAGTGTGATGAAACAACTTTCTAAGCCTCTGAAACAACCTCATACTCATAAGCAATGTTTTCCAAATGAGGAAGACCACCCACTCAGCTGGAAGACACCAAGTGACATAAACTGATATGAATTCATACCAAAATGTACCCCTCCCCCTTTTTTTTTTTAGAAAAAAGGACAATCTATGTCTGGTCTAATCTTAAACCACATTGCTCACATGCCCCAGACTGTATTTCTCTACTCTTCTTCATAATTATTGTTGACATTCCAGTCATGTGCATCTTAACAGAATTCAGTACACCAATTAGGATTTGGCATATTAGTCATCACAGAGTTACAAACAGGGTAGCAAGCTGGCCTGTCCCAGAACTTAATTGAATTGCACTACTAGTCGGAAGCCTTCTAAGTGAACTATGAGCTTTCTGATTTGACAGTTTGTGATTGTAGACAAATTAACTTGCTCCAAACTTTTAGATACTGTACATCAATATAAACATTAATCGACTTTTTCAGTACACAAAGCTTAGCAATTTTCCAAAGCAACTTGCTTTGTTGCCTAATTGTTGCATTTAATAGGTTTTCCCTCAACAGTGGACTCAAATCCACAGTGCTACAATTTAAAACAGCTGCCTTGCTTTCTTTTTCTATAGCAGAGGAAATTTGGTTTTTTAATGTGTTTAAATTACTGCATCTGGCAGAACCTTAAGCTAAATTCCAAGCCAACTATTCTGCTTCAACCATTTGACATCTGGATTTCACATCACTTCTAAAAAAGGCTAGGATGGTAGTATATTCAGCTATCTTTTTTTGCCCCATTAATATCAGTTATCTCTCTAGTTGAACTAACTCAAATTTATATTTAAATGTCTTCAACTGGTTCAGCAATGGCTTCACTTTACTAAATGGGACAGTAAAAAATGCCTTATAATCCAATAGAATATGGAGTGGTCCCACAGCAGATTTAAAGGCAAGGAAGGTATTTTTTTTAAGTTAAAAACATGAAGAATTTTGCTCTAGAGCCACTCTGGTAGCACCTAACTCAAATTCGTTTCCACTTTGGTACATTGGGACTAAGATCTCACTTGCATTTCACGGTTCTCCAATTTATCTCACTCCTTTCAAGCCAGGGATCTGAATCATTTAGAACACAGCACTTCTTCTGTATGTTCCACAAGACCTAGTTTATAGCAAGTGTGCTGAGAAGGCTCTTTAGTAGTAAACAGTCACAATATACACAATCAAGAAATGAGAGTATACTACAAAGAAAGTTCAACATGCTTAGGAATAGCCAAAATGAGAACACCACAGAGGGAATCAATGCACCAAAAAGGCATTTGTTTACTCCTAAAATGGAAGGTGTCAGGCTCAAAGCTTACTAACCATACATTAGACTTTGAATTAAATATTTCCACCTGAAAGATCTCATGTTACACAGCCCATGTTGCTGAAGAACAGCTTATTTAAAAACAAGTGTCTGGGTTACATAATTAGACACAACTGAAACTTAAATCAATGTTATATAGTCATACATAGTACAGACATATAAATGCTAGAATCTGAATAGCATGATTATATTAAAAATATGTAATCCCAACACATATTTTTCTTCCAATACACTTTTACTCAGTCTCTCCAATTCACAACAGGCAACCACTATTTTCTTGTAAAGGTATCCCCCATATTGTTATACAGTTTCCAAATATAGAGCTATAATCACACATTAATCGTAATAATCAAGCATGGAGGCCTATATCTGCAATTCCTCCAAAACTGCAGAAAGAATATATACCACTATTTTCACTGATTTCTACAATAGTCCCTATCAGCACCTATGATCCTTTCTCAAGCCTTTCTCAACCTAAAATAAACCTATCTTCTTTTCTGAATACAGTGGGGCTCTTGTTCCTTTTTTGCCAACCACTAGTGTTAAAATTTCATGCCCAAAACTTTTTTGCCCTCTGCGGATATAATTGATTGGTCCTAGTTGTGATTATGGCATAGGTACATAAATTTGCAGAGGTAAAGGTTAAGCACCAATCAACTAGCCTTACCAATTTGGCAGGGAAAAAGGTGTGAGAAAACCAAAATAAGTGGATGTAACCTATTGGTGCAAAAAACTTACTTGTGGGCAAAAACTTTTTGGCAGGCAAAAAAGGAACAAGAGTCTACAATGCCACAATTGCTGTTATCAAAAGATTATTTGGAGTCTGTGGAATAAACTTTCCTCTTCGCACATAGTGACTGAATATCTGCCTTTTATTCCCAAACAGGACATCAGGGAACATTAGCACTAACTAAAGGCTGTTCTCATACTATTCCCCTGTGGGCACATTTCCCTGAAGCACTCCAGTGGACAGCCTCCCCTCTTTTTCACAAGTTTGAATCCAAAGTTTCCCTTCATCCTTTCCTCAGTATCCCCATTCTTCTTTGCCTCCTATAATATAGCCTCCTTCATCCACCAGCTAAGCAGATTTAGCAGAGGTTCACCTTCATGCCCATTTCCTCAATTATTGTTCTCCCTGCTTTCAGGATTATACAGTGACCTCTTACTACAATAACCCCCCATCCCCTTTTCAACAAGCCCCCTTCCTGAATAAAAAGGACAAATACCTACATCAACATATGGAAAGGATGTTTCCCTATGACACAATCCTGACAATTTAACAAATTATTTCAGACACACTGCTACCAACACACTGTATTTGCACACCTTATTGCCACTGGCAAGCGACTTAAAAATTAAAGCTGGCAGAACTTTTTCAACAGAAAAGACGCATGACAGCCGGTTCCTACGCGTTAAGTGGCAGTTGTAGATTGTCAGGAAAGCTGTGCGTTACGGGGTAAACTCATCAGGAAGGCCACAGGGGCAGCAATTTGGTAGCACAGCCGCGTGCTTCTATTCACATCTCGGCTGACCATTTCTAACCACGGGGGGCTAAGTCAACCCTTCTTGTCTTATAGTCCAGAGTTGAGCCAAGTCCCTCACTAAAGGTGGCTTCCGACGGGCTCCAGTCCGCTGCCCTCTGCTCTTCCACGCCCGTCCAGAGGCCTCCCCTCTCGACTGTCGTGTCCTTTCGCTAGAGGGTACCTGCTCCACGGTGGCCGGGTCCATGCTCTCGATGCGGGCCGCCGCCGTCTCGTACTCGTCCTCGCTGTTGTAGCCGGCGCCGACCTCATCTTGCTCGGGACTATTGCCTCCCCCTC